ATGAGTACTAGAAAATAGTGTCTAGGGGTGGACAGCTAGGTTCAAATAGGGAGTAATCAAGATTGGAGTCTGTGGTGGTTGTTAGTGTTACTGGCTTTTTTTAAAAAAAAATATGATTGGTCCTTTTATATGATTGCACTTTCTAACTCCTGTTGGCTGGGGTCATTTGTAACTGCTTCAGGCCATTGAATTAGGAGCAGAAATTTTGAGTGTCATGAGTTGCCTGTGTGAGGTCCTCCAAAACTTTTTCTTTATCTCTGGAACAGTGATTGGTCATTGTTAAGATGATGACTGCTCTGACAGCTTGGGTTCCTGTGTGACTGTACTATGTGGAGCACCCCTGCTAGTGTTCGGTTGTTATATAGGATGATCAAGAAGTAGCCCTTAGTTGTTTTAAGCTCCTAAGATTTGAGGGTTGTTTATTATTGCAGCAATATGTGATCTGTATTGACTAATACAGATTTTTTTGTTGGGTTTTGAGAACGACAAAGCCATACATAGGATAGCAAGTGTGCAAGTGTGTGTGTGGGGAGGAGTGAACTAGATTCCCCAAACGAAGGAGCCAGAAACTTACCAAGGAGAGTCTTTAGGAGTGTGAGCAAATCTAAGGTCAGTCTTGGGACACAGGTGGAGAGAGGGGTTGAGATCTTCCTGCCTCCTCTTCCCATGCAGAGAACTGACACACTCACACAAGCACATACATACAATGTGGAGTATGTTTGGTCTACCCTTTGTCAGTGTGAAAACAGTAACTTAAAAATCAATGTAGAAAATGAATACAGTGTATAGAAAACCAGGATTTAGGAAAAATAACTATGTTGGAGGGTTTAAAGACTTTTTTTTAGTACCACAGAAAGTAATATGTTTCCCTATCCCCTCCTCATCATACATGTTTACATTCACATGTTTTTACATGCCCATATGTACATAATCACATAATATTTTAATCAACCGTACTTGTGATAACAAGTCATTACCTCATGAGGCCTATCTGTATACAATATTTAAAACCTTCCTCTTCCTCTCCTCTCACACTCCTGATCTAATTAGTTCTTCCACTCCTCCATCCCTGCAGTATTTAGCATTTTCTTTATTTATTTAATATGTTTTACTATTATTATTTTCCTCTATTCTCACCGGAATGCAAATGCTAACAGAGAAAGGACATTTTTATCCATTTTGTTGACTGACAACAGAGCCTGACACATAATAGTGTTTGTGGAGCTGCATGCAGCACCTTCGTGAAGGAGAAACAGGAACAAACGGGATACAGATCTGCCAAGTGTTCCAAGCGGAGATTCAATCTGAGGCACCGTTGTGATCTGACCACATTTAAACTACAGTTTGAGTCCCTCGCTCTCATTCTGTATCTTATAAAATAGCTCCAGTCAAGCAGATAAACTTCTTTGTGAAATCTTCCATATGTTGTGTGTAAAGACTGAATTTTGAAGGTAGTACGAAAAGTGGGAAGGAACATGGGCTTTAGAAACAAACCACTTCATTGTTACCTATTCGGTGTGACTTGGGCAAGTTACTTAAACACGGAGTCTAAATTTTCCTTTCTGTAAAACTGGAATAAAATATAGTGGGGCACCTATTGGGTGGACTTAATACACAGTTATGTGAAAATGCTTAGCACATGGTAGGTATTGGTTTATACTGGTTCTCTTTTTTTCCCCCCACCTCTCCATAAAAACAGCTTTCATTACATTTTTTATTTAATATTATTTAAAATATTTTCAACTTAGTCAATTTCCAATTGACTTTTTGTGAGATTATTTTAGTAATCTGTGTACACAGAATTTCCCAAATGTGTACAAAGAGCCCATACACAGCATTCACCAGGGTGTGGATTTCTTCAGACATGATGGAAAAAGCAGATTATCTGGATTTTAAGTGATGGGTAGAAATTCAGTGGGAAGAACTGGGAAGAAGGGTAAAATTCCAGGATAAATGGATTGGAATTCTTTTGCTGTTACTGTTGTTGTTTCAGTCTTGTGCATCTAGTTTTTTCATGGTAGCACTTGAAGTTCTACAGTCAAGGTTACCATTTGCCTGAAATTTTGAATAATTGATTCCTTTTGGAAGTGGTTTCTTTATTTGCAAGCTAAAATTGTTTCTTAGTCTTGAAGTTGATCTCTGTTGATCACCCAATTTTTCCCCCCAATTTGTTTAGTTGAACTAGACATGAAGATTTTTATAGGCGATTTCAACTTATTTGACCTTTTTCTATTATTGATTTTTTTTTTTTTTTGAGAGTGAGGAAGGAAGAGGGATAGAGAGATAGAAACAATAATTAGAGAGAGACATTGATCAGCTGCCTCCTGCATGCCCCCTACTGAGGATTGAGCCTGTAGCCCAGGCATGTGCCCTGACTGGTAATTGAGCCAGGGACCTCTTGGTTCATGGTTTGATGCTCAACCACTGAGCTAATCTGGCTGGGCTTGATTTTTTTTTTTGTAAATATAGTTACAACAGTTTTCTTTAGCTTTTAAAAATAATTTCATTTGTGTATATTATAATGAACTATTATTTGCTTCAGTGCCATTATGTGCTTACCGCAGAGGTTGTCAACCTCGGCTGTACACTGGAATCATTTGGAGAGCTTTGAAAATACCGATGCCTGGGCTCGACCTGCATCTGAGGTTTGGCCTTGGAACCAGATTTTTAAAAGCTCCTCAGGTGATTCAACTCTGAAGCCAAGTGTAAGAAACCATTGGCTTAAAGGATTTCGGACGTAACTGAAACATGCTTTCCACTGGGGAAAGTAGGTAGCCATGGCTTATCTGAGTGGTGTGATCAATCTGCCTTCTCAATCTCTTACTTAGAATATAGTGAACTGATTAGAATTGGGGTGGTAGAATGAAGTCCTTGACTTTGTTAAAGCACTTTTATTGTTAGTCACCAAACCATAAATGGAATTAAAGCATATGAATGGATAGAATACTTTTAAGGCCTTTAAATTCCCGTGTGGACGGGGAAGGAATAATAGTTCTTGTTTTGAGCTCTATGCAAATTCAAGTCCTTTGGCTCATGATTTAAGTCAGACATGAACAAATACGTTTTTAGAACCTGTAACAAATACTAATTTATTGTTAGTATAGTTAAGCAAACATTGTTCTTAAACTCTTGTTGACTTTGTCACCTACTTTCAATGTAATAAGTACTCTGTTACCATAAGAAGGTCTTTGTTTACTCCAGTAACAAGATGTTGGACAAGGACTTGTAAACTCAAGTAGCTACCTCCCTGAGGTATCAGAGAGCTTCCAGAAGTAAATCAATCTGAACTTTAGAGTATTCCTAGCTTTTATTCTGAAAACTAATCTAGCCTACTTCCAGCTTGGAATTTGGAGCTGAGGTCAAGTTAGGGATATTTACTGTAATTTCACTGTTTGGTTTGAAGTATTATGAAGTTCCAGAACACACCATATTTGTAGTATGTACAGCAATAGGGCTGCAAATTTCTTTTACTTCTATGTGACCGGCCGTATTAGTATGGTGTCTGAATACAGTGGGACTTAGTGAATTGGTGAATAGGATAATCAGAATTGTGTCCAAATCCTAGGTTTTCTATTTATTAGCTCTTACTTTATTTATTTAACTTATTTAGCTTTAGTTTCCATATCTGGAAAATTGGGGGAAATAATACCTAAGTTATTGAGTGTATATTATAATGAAATGTTTTAGATTTTTAATACAGTACCTGCCCAGTGTTGGTCTGTAATAAATAATCTTTCTGTAGTTTTGAATTCGAATTATTCTAGAGAATTATTCTAGTAAAAGTGATACCTGAGAACAAATTAAGTTCTAAATTTGCTTTAATAATGAATCTTATGAATAATGACTATTTGGGGTGATGTATATAAATCATATTTTATGTAGAAAATTTCTGAATTTTTAATAAACCATGGAATCTCCTGATAAAGATATTAATACCTTTGTTTATCATGGTAGGTTTTATACATTTTCATTATGTTTAGAGACATTTTACAAGAACTCATAATTCTTACAATATGAAGGGAGAAATTGGAAGGTGGATAGTATAGATTAGGCAGTATAATATAGTAAGGGCATAGATACCTAGATGCATATAGACACAATGAAAAGATAAGTGAAACATAATATAGGTCATGTTAAAGTGTAGCCAAATTAAATGAATTCTTTCATTAAAAAATGGTTATTTCATTCCTTTGTGTGCTCAGATAAGATGATCATAGTAATGACTCCTCCTGTTTTCTGCCTTTCAAAATTGCTCTCATTTTTAAAGGCACAATTCAAATATTGTCTATTTTATAAAGTTTACTTGCTCTCTTCCCCATCACACACCGCTTACAAAGGAATCGCTTTTCTCTGCATTCTGTCAGCATGTGACCGCTGCCTGGCACTGTTTCATTGTAAACGCAGTTAAGTTTATGGCATTAGGTTGAAGGTTGCATGGGGTCCCACCAGCTTTGACATCAGAGAGATGTTAATTTTAATCTTCACTTGGTCACTTTCTTTGTAAGGATTTCGTCTTTCTGTGCTCAATTTTCTTACTGTCAGACAGACGGGGATAAAAGCTTCTACCTCATAGTGCTGTTGAAAGATTCAGTAGTGTCAGTGGCCGGAGATAGTAAGTGTTCAGTAAATGGTAGTGAATATTGTTATTGTTGCCATTGTCAGTGTATGGCATGTTATTTATTGTATGTAAAGTTTTCAATTAGCAATAATCGCGCCTCGGATAAACCTCATTGGCTACGATACTGCCACTGCGCAAAGCTGTATTTATTGTATGTAAATATGATATGTGACTTAAATAAAACCTCCTTCTCTAGACTGCACTTTTTAGGACAGGGAACCATCACTTGGCATTTTACATAAGGTTTAGTAAATTAACAAATACGTGTTGATTGAGTACATTAACTTTCACTTTTACTTGGATTTTAAAAATAGTATTGGTAGATAACACAAAATGTCATAAAAGTTGTGTTCTAAATGGCTTTGTTTTAAAATCCCTGCAGGTATCTTCTTTTCCCATAACTTCAGTGCCCTGAAACCCGAGTATTCCACCAAGATAATATGATAGGCACTTTCCATGGTTTGGAGCCATATCCTACTTAGACGAATGTGGGCCTTCCAGAGGTCCTGAGAGCTTGGTACAGAGCACACACTGCTTGCTAGTTGGCGTGGCAATAATGCCATCTCTGCCTCAAGAAAGAGGTAAGCTGACTTTTTTCATCACATCACAGATACAGATTATAGATCATCACTGCTGGCTATTCATAACAATTAAAAATTGGGGATTCTTAAAGAACCAGAACTTAAAATTTTACATTTTTTGGGAGGGCATTTGTGTTCTCTGGTATGGAATTTTTATTATTTCAATGATATTTGGTTGGTTTACGTTTCTCTTAAAGTTATTCAGGGGCCTTCTGCCTTGGATCTGAGTACAGAGCTGCCTTTTCAAAGCACACTGAAAAGGAGAGTCAGAAAGAAGAAAAAGAAGGGAACAATTACAGCCAATGTTGCTGGGACAAAGTTTGAAATTGGTAGGTCTTCTCAAAATCATGAGATTGTCATACCTGTTGGAAAGTCTAATTTGATGTTGAAAAAAATGTAGAAATTCAGAGAGATACTCTTTTTTATGTAATGGATTTTTAAATGCCTTTTATAAAATTTTATTTTTTAATGAGATATTTATCATGTTGATAATCAAATAGAGCATCAGTGTAAATGAAAAACTTTAGTTATTAATGGAATGATTTTGATTAAACTCAATGTTAAAATCAAGCATAAAATGGTAAGAACATTAAACAGATTAAAATGTTAAATAGAAATTGAACAGTCTAAAATTTGAGATTTTTATTAAACAACGAGAACCTGAGAAAGAATAGAGTAAAAACATTTCTCTCATTTTTAAATAAATCTTTTAAAGATGCTGTTGCTTTTTATTAATAAAACTCCAGTCTTTCTGCCTAAAAAGTATCTGCAGTGTAGAGAGCAGATAAGAATTGATTGCTTGAAATTAAGATACTTTTGCCCAGTACTGCAAAACTCATTATGAATGACAAGCACTCAAATAATATTCCTCTTTTCTTAGTTATTTTGCATTAAAAGAGTTGAGAAAAATCATATGAACCTCAAGGATGTTAATTTTTTTACCCTTTATTAATATTTGAGAATCTCATTTTCATTTACATTAATTCATCAAAGCTCAGCAACAATCAGTGAAATATTTCAGTGGGATTGAGGTCCCCCAACACTCTGTTCCAACAGGTGTTCCTCAGAGGGAACCACACTGAGCATGTTGGTGTGAGAGGACGAGATGTGACAAGGTTCAGGGCTTATCTGCAGCGTTTTTTTTTCAGAAGGAAAAAATGAGAGTAAGGTGGCCCTCATAAAAATGATTGATAGCCCCACTGGTGTGGCTCAGTGGTTGAACGTTGACCTACGAAGCAGGACTTTGCGGTTGGATTTCGGGGTCAGGCCACATGCCCGGGTTGTGGGCTCTATCCCCAGTGTGGGGCGTGTAGGAGGCAGCTGATTGATGATTCTCTCTCATCATTGATGTTTCTATCTCTCCCTCTCCCTTCCTTTCTGAAATCAATAAAAGTATATTTTTAAAAAATGATAGCTGGGTGGTGTTAACTCATCCTCTCACTTTGAAGGTCCTCATGGGGTTTGTAAGGAACCTTGATTTAAAGGAGAGTGTTTAAATGAAGTTCCCTCTCACTTTCCTAGGAAGTGTTCAGAGGGCTGACGTTGTGTTAGTGTTCTCCATACTGATTCTGGTTCCATTTCTCTCATCAAGGTCTTCCCAGTCATTTCTGAGAGGCCCACACGATGCGTCTCATGTCCTCAGGAACAGGTCTGCTCCTGAGCTGCTGGTCTGACCTCATTGTCTTCTGCCTGTGAGCCAGTTAAAGGGGTCTCCCAGGCTGTGTCGCTATTGCCCTGGCCCTTCTTATGGCCTCTAGGGGGCACAGCAGCTCCTGAGCCCCTAGGACCCCAGCTGCCTGGTGGTCTGTGGCAGATGAGAGAGGAACAGCTCTTTCCCTGACTTACATTGTCACCTGGCCTTCAGACGGCCTGAGTTTCACTAGGCATCTCATGTCAAACAGCATCTTCAGCTCACAATCCCCTCCCCGACCGCATCCACCGCCAGTCACTGTCCTCTTTTATGCCTGTGTACTAGGCACTGTTGCATAAACAGTTCTTTCTTTTTCCTCAGCTGCGAAACAAACAAGAGTCCCCAGGATTTGAAACCAACAAGTGTTTGCTCATCAGTATCATACTTGAGCCAAATAAATTCAGACAATTGATTGCTTTGTATCATTTCTCCTCATATTGGATACCAGTAAAAGTAAAACTTTTACAAATAAGTATTTTGCTTACCTGTATTGTAGGCAAGAAAGAACTTGAAATTTATTGGAAGAAAAATATCAATATGTTAATTATAATATCTAAATTAGAGAAGGGTCCATAAATAGTTTGTACTAACAAGCAAACTTTCCTCTGAGCACAAATCTCTTTTTCCGTAAGATTAGAGGGTTTGCAGATAGGAGAGAGCCAGTTTCTGAATCTGTGCAGTGAATTCTGCTTTTTTTTTATTTTGCATCCTGAGTCAACATGCTGACTTGGTTTTAATTACTAAAAATAATGGGAACTAGGGGAGGTGGAAAGTAGGTCTAATGATCTAATGACCAGGGGCTATTTTTCCCTTTTCCCTTTTGTACCCAGCCCAAGGTCATGAAAAAGCCAGGAAAGTACATTTTGCTGATAGAGGTGTTGTCTCAGCTGTGCATATGTTCTCCTTGTGCTGTGAATAATCACTGAGCTCTTTAACAGTGTTATGTCCCTGTTAAATCTCTGAGGATTTTGGGTGCAACCTAAAAACAGTTCTCAGTTACTGCTGAGTACAATTTGGCCCTAGGTAAATTGTTATAACTCAAAACAAGGTTATGCTATAATTAATGGAGATTTTGCCAACAAAACACTTTGAGCTAAAATTTATACATATCAAAATATGTTTCCCCTTTGGATATGTTTCAGAAGTATTTTAATTTTGGTTTAACTTAACCTTTTACTTGCAGTTCGTTTAGTAATAGATGAAATGGGATTTATGAAAACTTCAGACGAGGATGAAACGAGTAACCTGATATGGTGTGACGCCGCAGTTCAGCAGGAGAAGATTGCAGAGCTGCAAAACTACCAGGTGGGGGGTTAGTCACGGCCCATCAGTGGCCATGAGGAAAGTTACATACATTCCCTCATAGCTTTCTTTAGATAGGGTTCTTGCTATGTTGACAATCTCACCTGAATAGCCTGTTGTGTTGCTGTGCAGTACTGACTTTGCATGAAGTCTGCATCCTTTCAGATGTAACTTTTAACCTCTTTGCATCTTTAAGTAAGAATTGATAGAAGAAAACCTTTACTAAACTGGTGCTTTGCATTATGCTTAAAGATGAGTCACGTGGAATGGCCTAGCGAGATCATGATGTGGCAGTTCCATGTCCGTTATACATCTGGCTTCATTCTTTTATTTTTAGGATGTGATACAAACATATTAAAAAAGTCAAATGCATGGAATTTTAGACAGTTCACATTTTATGCAGTTCTTCTTCCATTAGTATAGAGGGTAACACAGAATTTACTGCAGGAAAAAGAATAAGTCCATTTTCACTAGTTTTTCTACAATGCTTATCTGTATGACTATAGTAAATTTAGAATGTAAAAGATAATTTAGATAATTAATTACCAGTTATTCAACACCAAAAATTGTAACTTTAATGTCATTATAAACACCCTTTTTTGATTTCTTTAAAATTGTGCAATTTTTATTCTCTATATAATCAATTACTATAGATTCTTTAATTCATTATAGGTCATTTAACTTAAATATTTTACATTAGTAATTGTCAGTTTATTAAAACATGAAAACTTAAAAGATGGTGGTAACTGTATTATAGTATAAATGACTATATTCATTAAGTCAATGAGGATATTAATATTTACCTTTTTATTTTCCAGAGGATCAACCATTTTCCAGGAATGGGGGAGATCTGTAGGAAAGATTTCTTAGCAAGAAATATGACCAAGTAATCTTCATTTTCTTATAATAGAATAAACCTGTGTTATAAATACATTTTGAATATTAGAGTGCTATCTTTTACAAAGGTACATTGATTTAAAATACTTTGATGGAAGAGAGAGAATTTTAGATCTAGGAGGGTCTGAAAAGTTTTCTGGTTCCATTCCTGCTCTTTGCCGAGGAGGTAACTGAGGGTCAGAGAAATATCTTGCACAAAATCAACACATAGTTGGTAGCAGAGCTAGAGCAGAATCTTGGGTTCTAAAATCTCAGGGTTCTTTTTACTGTTTATTCAATATGTTCTTATTTATTTTCAGTTAAACCTTGCAGGATCTAATATGTTGTATTATGGTGTGTGTGTATCTGTGTATTCATATACTGGTTACTGAGCATCTAATATGTGCCAGGCACTGTAGTAGGTGCATGTGTGCACGCACATACATGTAGACCACATATACACAGGGTGGGGCAAACATAAGTTTACAGTTGTGAGTTTGTGAAACACCATTCATTCTTGCATTGTTATTTATTGTATTTTTCCATACGAACAATTATAAACCTCAATAGTAAACCTACTTTTGCCCCACACCGTACATACCCACCCAGGGATATACATGCACATACATTTATTTCTGAGGCCACTGTTTAGAGGAACAATCTGCTTTCATGGGAAAAACAGTTCACAGGTACTCAAGTACTGAATGAACTGTAGAATTTTTATGCAGTTTATATCTCTACTGATTTGATTATTTTAGTTTAAGAAACTTGAGTGATAAATTGAGAAAAATTTTAAGAGATATCTTTCACAGAGAAAGGTTTGTAAAATTGTGTGTATAATTAACAAAATATCTGTTTGTATCCAAGTGAAAGTTTATACATCCATTCACTCAACAGATATTTTTGAATGTCTATTTTTCCCCCTAGAGACTGTTAACTGTGAGGTAAACAAGATAAATAAGGCCTAGTCCTTCCCGAGAACTCACATTTTAGTAAGAGAGGAAGACCGACACATACAGTATAGTTGTGTTAGAGGTAGAGTCAAAGTCTGGTGGTGACCAAGATAGGGGGAGAGATTATTTTTGAGTGGGCAGGGAAGGCTTTCTGGAGGAATGAAATTGAGATGGATATTGAAAAGTGTATAGGAATTAAATATTTATCTTGAATATTTGTGTGCTTTAATTTTTTCCAAGTATATATGTGAAAGAATGTTATTCATAAATACTACATGGTTAATTTAAAACTATATTGTTCTAATCAAGCTTTAACTTGATCTGATTTTATATCATTATTAAAAATATAATAAATAGCTTGGCTGCTGTTGCTCAGTGGTTGAGCATCAACTCATGAATGTTAAGGTCATGGTTCGATTCCCAGTGAGGGCACATGCCCAGATTGTGAGCTTGACATTCAGTGGGAGGGGTGTGTGTGTGCAGGAGGCAGCCGATCAATGATTCTCTCTCATCATTGATGTTTCTATCTCTCTCTCTCCCTCTCCTTTCCTCTATCTGAAATCAATAAGGAATGTACCAAGATTATTTAGCTTGTTGGCTTATTCTGGGCTTGACACATGGAGTTGGTAATTATATCCTTTTTTCATAATAGAAACAACTTTCTTACAGGGTTCTCTTGAAAGAACACTTGAAATATGGTAACTGTATGACCCTCCAATTGTGGAGGCCAACTGGCTTATGTGTTTAGGTCCTGCCTCTCTGCATACTATATACTATGCTTTCATTTTAGTTTCTACTAATTTTATTTGGGGACAATATCTGTTACATTATTTGCTCACCTATTAAAAGACTTGCATATATTTATTAAAAAGACATTTTTGAAACAATAGATTTTCTTTAATATATAATATTTTAAAATAGTTCTCTTAATTTATTTTTATTGGGAATCATTATATACAAAATGGTTAACATTTGGGATTCATCAAAAGTAAACCTTTAGCTCTGTATGGTGTTTCACGGTGGTTAGAGCATCAGCCTATGCACCCAAGAGTTGTGGGTTTGATTCTCAGTCAAGGGCATGTACCTGGGTTGCAAGTTCGATCCATGGCCCTGTTGGGGTGCGTGCAGGAGGCAATCAATCAATGTGTTTCTCTCACATCAATGTTTCTCTCTCTCTACTTCCCTTCTTCCCCTCTTCTCTTCCTCCCTTCCACACTCTCTAAAAATAAAATCAATGGAAAGAGTATCCTTAGGTGAGGATTAAAAACAACAAAAAAGTAAACATTTTATATTGAGTATTATCTTTAAGTTATGTATCAAATAGGCAGCCTGATTTGTAGCAAATACAAAAATACTAGGACATACATTGTAGCCATGAAACCACATGAATAAGCACATATAGTTCATATAAAAAAACCCTCTACTGACTAAAGGCTTCACATAGTTTTCTCAGAAAGGGAATTAAACTCCAAAAACCAACAGAATAAAAGGCAATCAAAACTGCTCCCTATAGGTGACCCAGAGAACTCAAAATCATCTTTAAAGAAGCAATATAAGTGGCACCTGGCCAGGAGCCATTTCCTACTGCCAATCCCCATTCTTGAGGAATAGTTAGTGACCTTTTCCATGTTATCTTGCTTTATATGCCTTTATTACCTCTATTACATTGTATTTAATTAATATCCTATATGTAAATTTCTTAGAAAAGAAACCATATTAACTTATATCCTCAGTGCCTGGCACATAGTATGTACTCAAATATATGTTTGATTTACTAATAAGTAAATTAGTATGTAGGACAGAGAACTGTGTCTATTTTTCTTTACTGATGTATCACCAGTGTCTAGAATAGTGCCTAGCACATGGTAGATGCTTAATAGACATCTGCTGAATGAATCAATAGATGAATAGAGAGATTTAAATCCTTGTAGTAAATGTCAGGATCACAGGAAGAAAATTTAGAAAAGTTTGAATAGAAATTACTTTGATATTATCTCTAATTAACAGAATGATCAAGTCCCGGCCTCTGGATTATACCTTTATTCCTCGAACATGGATCTTCCCTGCGGAATATACTCAATTCCAGAACTACATGAAAGAATTGAAGAAAAAAAGGAAGCAGAAAACTTTTATAGTAAAACCAGCTAATGGTGCAATGGGTCATGGGTAGGTATTTTCCACCTGTAAATTATATATATCTATATATATAAAAGCCAAGTGACCAGAACAACCGGAAAGACTGGTTGCTATGATGCACACTGTGGCAGGCCAACCTCCCGTGGCCCCTGCCCCCAATCTTCCCCACCCCCCAATCAGGGGCAGGGCCAGTCGGCCAACCTCCTGGTCCCCTCCCCCCAGCCAGCAAGACCCCACCTGTGCACGAATTTGTGCACTGGGCCTCTAGTGTGTGGATTCTACCCACTGCTGTTTTTGGAACTAAATATTTAATGAGTCCTTTCATTCTGTCCTACAGGCTTCAGTAATTAAATTTAAAAATCAAATAAACAGATTGGAAGACTTTAATAGGAGACAACCAAATAGGGAAAAAAGATGTTTTCTATTTTTTAAACAAAATTTGCATTTATAATAATTTTAGAGTAATCTTGAATACCATAGAGCTAAATTGACTTGGAGAAAGAAATGAGAAGGGAGTTACTCTTACATGTGTCTTCTTTGCTTTACAAATACATTTTTCCTTTTATTAAATTTATTGGGGTGACACCGATTAACAAAATTATACAGGTCTCAGGTGCAAAATTCAACAACTCATTATCTGTACACTGTATTGTGTGTTCACCACTTCAGGCCAAGTTTCTGTCCATCACCATTTATCCCCCCTATACCTTTCTCCATCTTTCCCAACTCCCCTCTCCCCTGCAATCACCACACTGTTATCCATGTCCATGAGTTTTTACTCTTTTATGTTCAATACCTCCACCCTTTCAGCCTCCCAAAACCCCCTTCCCAGCTGTCAGCCTGCTCTCCAGCTATGAGTCTGTCTCTGTTTTGCTCATTTTTATCTCTGTACCCATGGTGATTGGATTGAAAATAAGTAGAACACATTAAGCTAAAATACCAAGAAGTAGACATGCTAGCTGAGAATAGATTATATAACTTATATTTCTTTCCTTTTGTTTTCTTATGTCAGTTTTCTGCAATGTACTCTTAAAAAATGTAACTGAGTCTGCTTTTAATAAAAACTCATGAGTCATTTTAATCTTTTGTTTTAAATGCTTTGGGGAATAAAGGTTTTTGGAATTGTAGCTATTCAACACATTTCCCTTTAATTTTCAATCACAATCTAATCAGGCATTATTTTTAACTGTGGTTTACTAGTTCAAAAAATAAACATGTAATATTAGTGGGAATTTTATGTTAATTGGTTAATGTAAAGTTGGTGCTCTATGTTAGTCTCAAAGAAAAAAATTTGGGGGTATAATTGAAGTTCACATTTTTTCTCAATTTTAATGTTAAAAATAATGTTAAAATTTATATATATACACACACACACACACTTAATGGTAAAACATTATACAGAAATATTAGTCAGATTTGACAACAGTATAAAAAATAGCTGAAAAAGCACACTGTAATGCAGTGAGTAGGTAAAGGACACCTCTGCCATCTGTGGAGGATATCCATTTCCTTGCTGATCTATTGTTTGATTGTCCTCTCCATTGCTGAAAGTGGGGTGTTGAAGACTCCAGTTGTTATTGTTTAACTATCTACATCTTCTTTGAGTTCTATCAGTTTTTGCTTCATATATTTTAGAGCTCCGTTGGTAGGTGCATATATGTTTATAATTATTATGTCTTCTTGATGCATTGCCTTTTAAAAAAAACACTATGTACTGTTTTCTTTGTCTTTCGTAATAACTTTTATCTGAAAGTCTATTTTGTCTGATACTAATATACTGCAGTTCTCTGTTGGTTATTGTTTGCATGAAATATCTTTTCCATTTGTTTACTTTCAACCTATTTGAGACTTTGAATCTCAAATGAATCTCTTGTAGACAAAAGATAGTTGGACCATGTTTTTTTTTGTTTGTTTTTTTTTTTTTTTAATTCATTGTGCCAAATCTTGTTTTTTAATAAGGGAGTTAACCTATTTGTACTTAAGTCATTATTGATAAGGAAAGATTTACTTCTACCATTTTGCTATGTGTTTTCTATGTTTTATATATAATTTTCATTCCTTAATTCTTCCATTTCTGCCCTCTTGTATATTAAATAATTTTCTAGTGTGCCAATTAACTTTCCTTGTCATTTATTTAACTATATATATTTTTAATTTTTTAATGGTTACTTTGGGATTACAATTAACATCTCAATTTATAGCAGTCTTGTTTAGATTAATATCATCTTTCTTTCAATAGTAAAAAACAACAACAACAAAACACAAAAAACCCTGATCCTATATAGCTCTGCTCCCTTTTATTGTCACAAAATACATCCTGTTCATTGTGTGTCCAATAACGTAGATTTATTATTATTGTTTTATGCAGTTGTGTTTTAAATAATATAGGAAAAATGAGGAGTCAAACTTAAGCTATACTAGTAGTGACTTTTATATTTACCATGAATCACATTTAGTGGCGATCTTTATTTCTTTGTGTGTATTTGAATTACTGTCTAGTGTCCTTTTGTTTTGCCTAAAGGATTCGCTTTAGCATTTCTTGTAGGCCAGGTGTACTAGCAAAAAACTCCCTCAGCTTCTGTTTATCTGGGAGTGTCTTAATTTCTTCTTTAATTTTGAATAGTTTTGCCAGCTATAGAATTCTTGGTTAAAAGTTCTTTTTTTTCGTTTTCTGTCAGGTCTTTGAATATGTCATTTCACTGTATTTTGGCCTCCAATGTTTCTGATAAGAAATAAGCTTTTTACGTTATTGAGGATTCCTCAGACATGACGAGTAGCTTTAATCTTGCTACTTTCAAGACTCTTTGCCTTGGCTTTTGACAGTTTAATTATGTGTCTCAGTGTGGATCTCTTTGAGTTTGTCCTACTTGGAGTTCGTTGATCTTCTTGGAATTAAGATATCTTCAGCTTTAATTCTTCAAATATTCTTCTTACCCCTCTTTCTCTCTCCTTTTTATTTGAGACTCCCAGAATATGTATGCTAATATTCTTGATGGTGAACTTTTAAGCTCTGATTTTTCTTCATTTTTTTTTCTTTTTGTTCCTTAGACAAGTTAATCTTAACCAATCATCTTCAAGTTTTGCTTTTGTTTTTTTGCATTCCTAAATCTTCTGTTTAGCATCTCTAATGATTTTTTAATTGTTTTGTTATTGTAATTTTCAACTTCAGAATTTCTGTTTGAATTCTCTCCCTTACCCTTTAAAAATAATTCCTATCTCTATTGATATTCTCAAGTTGGTGAGATATCATTTTCATGATTTCCTTTCACTCTTTGAATAAATTTAAAATAGTTGATTTCAATAGTTGATTGTTTAGTAAGCTCAATGTCTGGGTTTCCTCAGAGACTTTATATCAATTGATAATATTCCTGTGTATGTGTCATACTTTCTTTTTTTCTTTGCATGACTTATAATCTTTTTGTTAAAAATTTGACATTTTTAATACTATAATGTAGAAACTCAGAAAATCAGCTTCTCCCCTCTTTGTATGTTTGTTGTTGTTATTGTTCATGCTTGTTGTAGTTGCTGCTTATTTGCACAGTGGGTTTCTGAAATAATTTTGTAAATTCTGTATTCTTTGTTATGTGTGGCTACTCTAATTCTTGTTGTGTTAGGTCAGTGGTCAGCTGCTAATTGGACAGAGATTTTCTTAAACATTTGGAAACCACCCCCCCTCCAAAAAATTTTGCCCAGTCTTTGCAGATGGATTACATGTGTGTTTAAGTTTGAGCAAGCCTTCTGTGTCCAACTAGGCAATTATATCTCTGCTCAGTCTTTACTTCTTACTTGTATAGATCCCCCTGGTTAGCCAGAGCTAAGAGCTTAGGATCTTAGGATCCTGAGCAGGCACCTACCTTTGGGCATGGACATGGCCTTCTGGAGTCGTAGAAATATGTCAGAGCTTTTCAAAACCTTATTCCTCAAAGATTCTCATTCCTCAGTCTTTCCCCCCAATCTTTTTAGTAGGTCTGTTGTTTCCTCCAATGGTTAGGCAGCAGGGACTAGTACATATGTTTTTAAATCTTCTCCATAATTGCCTCCCTAAGTAGCTGCCTCAGCCTGGGGAGAGTTTCCACTTAGGCAAGATAAAAGCAACCCCTTTGAGGTCCTCCAGGAAGCCACTACACAGGTTACAAAAACAAGGCCACCAACAGAATATGATCTATTCTGCTCCCTTAAGAATCAGTATCAGTACTGGAAACATGGGCTGTTGTTCAAGCCCACTGGTGAGCTGAGGGTAGAGAGTTGGTACCAGAGTAAGTTAAAATGCCACAAAGCTGTTTTACAAAGATTCAGCTGTGGTGATTTTTTTAAAAATTTTATTTTTACTTATTTTTTGATTAAATGATCCCTGGTTGTTACAAGCTTTTGGTTAGTTTCCAGAACTCCAGAAAAGTTGATTCTGACAACTTTCTTATTTTTATTGTTTTGCAATTCACTGCTTTTGTGAAGGCAGACTTTGGAGTTATCCATTCCTCCGTATTCTTCTTGAGTATTAGCTATAACTTTGTAAACATCTTGACTCCATATGAAATTGTTCTTTTGATTCTTTTTCTAAACTTAGGATTTCTTTGATAAGAAATGGTGACAAACTTCCATCTCAGGATCATTTGATTGTTCAAGAATACATCGACAAGCCTTTCCTAATGGAAGGCTACAAGTTTGATTTACGAATTTACATTCTGGTAACATCATGTGATCCACTAAAAATATTTCTCTACCACGATGGACTTGTGCGAATGGGAACAGAGAAGTACATTCCACCTAATGAGTCCAATTTGGTAAGTGATACCAACAGAATCTATGATTTGATTCATAGATTCAACATGTACTTTTTAAAGAACCCATTGTGTCTAAAGATTATATGAATGAAAGTTCCTCCTCTTAGGTTCTTATAGTCTAGAACAGGGGTGGGGAACCTTTTTACTGCCAAGGGCCATTTGGATATTTATAACATCATTCATGGGACATACAAAATTATCTACTTAAAAATTAGCCTGCTATATTTAGTCAAGCACTTAATTAGCTCACCCCTAATGCCTTGGCAGGGCCAGACCAAATGATTTCATGAGCCCTATATGGCCCGCGGGCGTCCTGGACGTTCCCCACCACTGATCTAAAACAACCATTTTCAACTGATGTGCTGCAAAAATTTTTAAAACATTCAATACCTGACTGACTAGTCAGGGGCACTGTCCTTTTTGCCCTTAGATTATCAGATGAAAAAATGACAACAGGCAGCACAACAATAGCTTGTCCAGTTGTGAATGAATCAAAATTATACTTATTTTTTTGTCAGGATGGCAAGAAACGATATTTTTGTTGTGCTTCAGAATCTTAGTAATTAGTTTATATGTGCCATGAGATGAGAATGGTTGAAATCGCTGGTCTAGAATGATTGCATGTACAAACAGGACTACTTCCAATCTGTAGACAGCTTTGGGAAAAATCGAATATAAAAAGGTGTCCGCTCCAGGAAGGCTAATCAGGAAAAGTCATCCCCTCTGGGTGCTGCGGACACAAGGATGGATTTCTAAGCACATGTGTGTATGCAGTAGCCCTGGATAGAAATGATTTTTCTATAACTATAAATTAAAAAGTAAGATGCCACTAGGAAGTATAGATAGAATGTTTATGTAGTTGAGTACAAAATGGCTAGTTTGTATTCAGCTCCTCAAGGAGGAGGCTGTACTTGAACAGTGTTTATACCTTTGTATAAGAGGTTCGGTTTAAACATATAGAATGTGGAGAAAGTATATGAAACAGGAAGCAAAAGATATCAGAAAATAGAGTAATTTATTTTTGTTGGACTAAAAGAGAAGATTGTAAATTTACATTGACCAAATGTGAAGAAGAGACAAATGGCCTGTTTCAGTGTGATTTTTAAGTCTATTAAACTGTAATTTATTATCATATTTTTTCATAAAGTAATAAACTATAACTTATAGTTTATATAAAGCAAACTTTATTTTTTGTATGTATTGATTTATTATTAACTAAAAAACCATTTTTTAGAATTGTTTCCCCTTTTGTCAAAGGCCTAGTTATTGTTTTCTTCCAATATTATGCACATAATTAACTCTATTAAGAATGGTCATGTTTCTGCCCTAGCTAGGGTTTGATCCCTGGTCAGGGCACATATAAGAATCAACCAATGATCAGCCAAGCATTTTAAATAAAGAGCATAAATAAGTGGAACAACAAATCAATCTCTTTCTCTCTCCACCCTCCCTTTATCTCTCCCTCTCCTTTCCTCTCTCTCTCTCTCTCAAAAAAAAAATGGTTATATTTTCAAAATTCAATAATAAGGGCTGATCATAAATGTTACTATGTTCAATGAATTAAAAATTTTTGTAAACCTGGCAGAGAAAGAATAAGGGGACTGGTAGTAGGGGCTCCTTAAATATTGTTTAATAAATGAAAAAATAAATTCTTAATTAGTGGTGAGCACATATAATTCAAATGAGGAGTTCTGCATATTTGCTTCAAAGATTTTAAGACTGTAGACCTAAGTAATGGCAGTGAAAAAAATGTGACATGAATATACTTAGTTATTAACAAGCCAAAATACTAATCATGTTCATGAAGCATATATTCATTGTGATGCAACAATACTACCTGAAGTCACCTCTAGGAGATGGATCATGAGGGTAGGATTTATAGACTTGATGAATGTTCATGGGAGATTGGTAAGGAGCCAATCTTTTTCAAGTTTATTTGAGAAATACACTATCAGCAAACATAAGGATATAAAGAGGCAAAGACAAAACAGCTCTAATATGGAGCATCATAAATGTGCTATTGATCATTCAGACACTACAGCACTTCATGGGGAGCAGCATTGTCTGCTGAGTGCACTCTGTCTTGTTAACAAGTTACAGTGGCCTCCGCATAAGAATGGGGCAGAGGCTGTGTTTGCTAGTCTTTTGGTTTATGCTACTTACTTGAGCTTTCATTTTTTAATGTTTCTTTGCAAAGACTTAGAATGTTCTCTCAGAAAATTCCTAAACACAAATTTGAGTAAAAACTGTAAGTGACCGCCCTAACCAGTTTGGCTCAGTGGATAGAGTGTCATCCTGCGGACTGAAGGGTCCCGGGTTCGATTCCGGTCGGGGGCATGTACCTTGGTTGCGGGCACATCC